AAGTAAAGAAAGAGGTATACATAAACGAGTGTCTTACCAAAAAACGTTAGAACCTCCTGTATAGAGTCAGAAAACTTAAGCGGGAGAATAACGACACAATACACCAATGCTTCACACGGGATGGGAAAATTCTTGTTAGGAAAACAAATGTAGGTCAACTGTACACAATCACGAACGAGAGAATGATCTATCACGATTTCTCAGGGATACTAATCTTACAGAGAATAACTAAACAATGTCCCAAATTAAAAGCCTACGTAGTGTAGTGTATGTTTTGCTCCATTATTGTTTTAAATTTCATTGTACAATCTCTTAGTATTTAAATAATCAACTACCTCATTTTGTGATTTTACTAGTAAGCATAAGTCACCTTATGTAATTTTCTTATTTTCTATTGTTTGCTTAAACATTAGCTGAATTGATACTTTCTCTGTCCATATTACTACTTCATATTTTTTTTTAATACTATCAATTGATATTACCTACTAAAATTAATAATTATCATTCTTACTATAATTTCAATTTACTCTTAACATTTTTGACATTTAATAACCATTACTTGTCTAATTACCTTTACCTGTTTTATACCACATTTACTATCTTAGAGTACTCTTAATTTACCTTGTACTGCCATATAACCTCTAGTATAACTACCATGCAATATTGAATGAAATAAAACATTACTTTTTCACTTTTTTTGTAATCATTATTACTTACTAAAATTTTATTAAACACCATATTTACTACCAGTCAATTTTACTTTTGTACATTAAACATTATTTTATACTTCCCATAACATTTTGTTGCCAAATTTTCAAGTTTGTATATTCAACTCCAACCTTTATATTATCCTTTGTTACCTGTCTACCATCTTACTATCATATTATAACCAAGACATTACCATTATTCGTTGTTCTTACCTGTCCATTTAATTTTGTTTACCACTAGTTTTTTTAGTCACTTTTTATTGTGTGTGCAATTAGTGTATATTCCAATTACTTTTTTGCAAGTACCAAAAACTTTTTGTTAGCTAGTACCAACTACCTCATTTTTTATTTTACTTTTATTGTGCAATAAACTGCTCAACTTATTTAATATTACAAATCAGATCTTACTCCTAAACCAATATTATTCATAGTGACTATCTGTCCATTTAACTTGTTTACCATTACTTAATTGTAGTCCCTTATATATTTTTTTGTCCTTTATTTTAGCTTTATATAACTACCTTAGATCATATATTCGCAATTGTTAAACTAATCAAGGTGCTATTCTCAGGTGCTAAAGTTAATAAGTTCACTATTTTGCCATTATACTCCAAAGCTCATTTATTTGATTACCACTTTATTGTTCACCACAACTTATATTAGTCCCTTTATATTATAATTTTTATATTATAATTCTAACTTTAAAGAATTACCTTTAAAGTACTACCTACTATCATATTCCCAAGCTCCATTATTTGATCATCACTTTATTTGTTCACCACAAAATTATTTTAGTCCCTTTTATATTGTTCCTTTATTAGCAATACTGTAAACACCGAATTACAGAAAATATCTACCTGGATGAGGGACTAACAAACTTACACTAAACACTGACAAAACCTACTTATTCAGTTTGGTAGCAGAGCTACAGATGTACCTCTTAACATAACGATAAACAGATCACCTATCACAAAGCTAACAGAGGGAAAAATTCTTAGGAATCCACCTCGATAATAGACTCAAATTTCATACACATATACAACAAATTTCTAAGAAAATTCCAAAACTGTAGGCATACTATCGAAGATACGGTACTATGTTCCACAGTCAGCCCTCCTGGCCCTTTATCACTCTCTTATTTACCCCTATTCTCACCTATGGAATTGTGCATGGGGCTCAACAACAACTAAACCATCTCAGACCATAATTACCAACAAAAGGCTGCAGTAGAATGATAACAAATTCTTACTACAGGCAGCACACTCCACCAATATTCAAAACACTCAAACCTACTCACCATACAAAACATCCATACTTATTATTGCACCTATTACATACATAGAACACTTAACTCTGATATTAACCCTCCCTCAAACATCTCCTTGCCAACCTCAACAGAACACATGACCATAATACAAGGCACAGATCACTCTTTGATGTTCCTCGTGTCCATCTCACTCTATGCAAAAACTCAATGCACATAAAAGGCCTAAAATCTGGAATTCATTACCTGTAAATATAAAAGAAACACTACCTGTTTATAAATTCAAGTCTCTTCTCAAAGTTCACTTACTCACACAAAACCAAATAAATACTGAATAACTGAACCATATAAATTGTATATCCTAATGTTACTCACAATTATATCACACAAATGTTAAACCTAACTTTGTTATTTTTTTTTTAAATACACTACCTGAATGAATAGCAATGCATGCAAACCACATGAGCTGTCTTTGTAATACTCATTTGTATTTTATAGTTATCTGTTTACAATAATGTCTTATCACTGATTTCATCATTGCTTAGTTAATCTTAAGTTAATTTTAAGCCAGCCCGTAATGCTATGCATATAAAGTGGCTTTGGCATGCTGCTCTTACCTGTATTTTTTTGTACCTCTGTATGTATGCTAAAATTTATAAAAAAAATTATAAATAAATAAATAAATGTCTTAGAACAACAGAGATCCCGGACGGGTACCCCATTTGTTCCAAATAAGAAATTTTTTAAAGAACTTCAGAATGTGGCCTGTTACCATTTATTTCTTATGCAACAAGATTTTTGGATCCGAGTTATAGGTAAGTTAGTCTAGGGGAAATAATTTCAACTGGGAAACTCCATAGAATAGTATTCAAATTTATTAAAGTATTTAAATACAATACTTTATCTTCTCTTTGTATTTAAATTTAACTTAATACTTTGTACAATAAATTACCATATACATTTAGTTCAAAATCATGGAAATGTCACATTAATAAGGAAGTTTAATTATTCTTCCTGTATCTAAGTCCTCATTAATATTTACGTCTCTTTCTTAACAAGACTGTAAACTCAAAATACAAAAGGTACAAGATTTAACAAGACCTTTGAATCTGGGCCCTAAGTATCTATGGATTTCTGAACTGACCAAGAATATAAATATCAAAAGAGTCTTTCAGAGTAATGAGGAACAAAGTGAGTCAGCTCTAGAGTCCAATTCTCAAAACCATTCAACTGTACACCGTAAGAGCCAATATACGATCAGTTGTCAGGGCTAGAGCTGGGAGCAGACTGACTACTTGCCAGTCTGTTGACGCGTCGTCAGGTTGGATCAGCTGACCCACGTCAGCCAGCTGGACATAAACAATTGAACAATTCACCGGATAGTTCCAAGACTTAAACTCTATATACACAAGAAATTCTACCTAACCATAATAGTAAAATAATAGTGATAATAGTAAAAAATAGTAATAATACCAAAATAGTGATAATAACAATATAGTGATAATAGCGATAATACCATGGTATTTTTCATATATTAACAGATAATAATATAACGCCGAAAGTCTCTATTTTAGCTATAAACGGGGACTTTCGCGCAATAATATTAAGTTATGAACATATTCTTTTACAATAGTTAAATAACACAGGATGACCAATTTCAAAGATATAACACTGCTGCTGTAGCACCATCTGCTGCTGCTGTAGCACTGTCAGCTGCTGCTGTAGCACTGTCAGCTGCTGCTGCTGCTGCTGTAGCACCTTTGTTGGTGTGGCTTATTGAGAATACCAAGAAACAATTAACCCCAGAGGGTTAGCCACCCAGGATAACCCAAAAAAGTCAGTGTCATCGAAGACTGTCTAACTTATTTCCATTGGGGTCCTTAATCTTGTCTCCCAGGATGCAACCCACACCAGTCAACTAACACCCAGGTGAACAGGAAAAAATGCCTGGAACTAGTGCTCATATTGGTGAATTTAAAGCCAGCAAAGGTTAGTTTGAGAGATTTAAGAATCGTAGTGGCATACACAGTGTGATAAGGCCTGTTCTGGAAGAAAATGCCAAACAGGACCTACATTACTCAGGAGGAAAAGGCACTCCCAGGACACTGTCTCATCAGTCATTGCTGCATCTTCAATAAAGGTAAGTGTCATTTATTCTTCATTTAGTAGAGTAGTACATGCACAATATATACTGTGCATGTACTACTCTACTATTGTGCATGTATCCTTCTCTTTGTGTGTAGGAAAATGTATATTTCATGTGGTAAAATTTTTTTTTTCATACTTTTGGGTGTCTTGCACGGATTAATTTGATTTCCATTATTTCTTATGGGGAAAATTCATTCGCATAACGATAATTTCGCATAACAATGAGCTCTCAGGAACGGATTAATATCGTTATGCGGGGGTCCACTGTATTTCGTGTTTCTTCGCATTTTTTGGTGTTTTTTTTTTGTATTATTTGTATAAATGTGTCACCATGGGGCCTACAAAGATTAGTTATAACAGCCAACCAAACAGAAAATTGGCTGGGAAGAACTTGTTCGATACTCAAACAGAGCGGCACTCGAACAGCCTTCTGGAATGAATTAAGGTCGCATACTAAGGTTCCACTGTACTTGATTAAGCATGATATTGATGAGGCCATTTAGGGAGATACTACCATCCTCTCGTACAGCACTTTTTTACAACATATAATGCAGAAAAAGTGCTGCAAACTTTCATATCATCTGATATAAACTGCAACAAATCCAATTTAAGTGGTATACATGAATCATAAAAATTTAAGAAAAATAAATATTGTATATAAACAAATTATTAATTCCAATAACCAACATCCAATGTCATAATACTTTATAATTAAAATCAGTAAAGCAACAAGTAAAACTTAATAATTAAGACTAATAATGGCGAATTCCTGTATTACTGTACACATCTATATTAATATTTTGACAGTACGGCAATGACTCCATAAGTGCTTACCCATTGATTAATGTAATATGATAACAAGTTTAACAATAAGAATTTACCTGTTGGAGAAGTAAGTGCCTTGGCCAAAGTCTTGCTGAGCATTTCCACCCTGCCGCCAGTCAATATTTTCTTTACATATTGTATCGATCAAAGAGGAGTTTATTCCATGGAATAATTTTTGCATATTTAACTGGTTCTCATCATAGCTGCCATGAAAAAAAACACAAATTAAGATACCTATACTATATGTATAATCCTTTTAAACATTTTAATTTTAAATCCTGTAACTGAATTTATAATTCTATCTGAATACAGTGGAACCTCAATATTTGTACATCTTGTATTCATACAACTCGATATTTGCCCAACTTTTCTGAAAAAAATTTGTATGTTGCCTCGATATTCGACCTAAACAAAACAGTCCATCTGGATGAATTCTGATGAAAACAAAGCATCATGCACTCGTCTCTTGTCAGCTTTCATTTGTTAAGCATCGTTCATACAAGCTCCATGAAACTTTTTGGTATTTCATTGTTATTCTGGGGTTTGTTTTTAAATATTTTCATCAAAATAAGTAATCATGGGCCCAAAAAGAGATTTAGTGATCCAAACAAGCCTAAAAGCAAAGCAGTAACAACAACAAAGTGAAAAAAGAACTCACTGCGAAGTGGGAAAGTGGAATGTGTTGGACCTGGCCACTCAATGTGGTATGGCAAAATCCACCATACTGTCCATATTGTAAAATAAAGAGGCAATAAAAGAAGTTGATGTGGCAAAAGGAGTGAAAATTCTTGCTGTAAAAAGGTCACGATAATTGAAGAAATGGAAAAACTTTCATTAGTGCTGATTAATGAAAAACAATTTGCCAATGACAGTGTTTGTGAAAAAGCAAAGCAGTTATTATAGTGATCTTCAGTGAGACACACCAGGAAACAGTGCTGAAAATGATGATTTTAAGCAAATAGGGACTGGTTTGATAGGTTTAAAAAGAGGAGCAGGATTCATAGTGTAGTAAGGCATGGGGAGGTTACCAGTGCTAACAGAAATGAGGCTGAAAGTTTGTTAAGGAATTTAAAACCTATGTAGACACTGAGGGATTTATTCCTCAACAAGTTTTTAATTGTAATGAAACCAGCTTCTTTTGGAAAAAGAATTCCTAAGAGAACCTACATCACACAAGAAGAAAATTCATTACCAGGCACAAGCCCATGAGAGACAGGCTAACTCTCTTGTGTGGTAATGCTAGTGGGGACTGCAAAATTAAACCCCTGCTAGTCTACCACTCTGAAAACCAAGGGTGTTTAAGAAAAACAATGTGATAAAAGTAAACTCAGGGTAATGTGGAGGACTAATGGGAAAGCCTGGGTAACAAGGCAGTTCTTCACTGAGTGGATACATAAAGTGTTTGCCCCAAGTGTGAAGCAGTACCTTGCAGAAAAAAAACTTGTAATAAAGTTGGTAGAATTACGACAATATGTAAAGTAAAGGGACACAAGTGCAACTAATGTGACATTTATTTGGCAACGTTTCGCTCTCCAGAGAGTGAACACTGAAACAAGCTGCCTCATTCCAGTTTATATTTGTCCAACCTATTTTTATGTTACCCAAGTAATAGCTTTTATATCCTTTTACTCATGTACGAATTAATTGCTCTACCAATTGTATTACTTTTGTCACTACCACTACTACTACTACTACTACTACTACTACCACTAGTGAACATCGAAAGGGTACCTCACTAGTATTACACCTCACTCTGAGCCTTTATATACCCTCTGTGTCCATGTATTGTTTGTAATGGCTTGATAAAGCTCCTGGAGAGCGAAACGTTGCCACAATAAATGTCACATTAGAAAAAAACTTACCATTAAGGGCACTTCTGGTAATGGACAATGCTCCTGCTCACCTTCCAGGCTTGGGAGGAACATTTGGTGGCTGAATACAGCTTCATTAAAAGTGAAGTTCTTGCCCTTGAACACCACTCCTCTTATCCAACCTATGAGCCAGCAGGTAATTTCCAATATAAAGAAACTTTATACAAAAGCACTGTTTAAAAGGTGTTTTGAAGTGACCTCAAAACACCAGTGTTTAACCTGTAAACGGTCCAAGCAGATCTACGTTCACATGTGTAGTGCTACAAAAGTAGATCTACGTTTTTTTTTACATATTTTCAAATGTAACAAAAAAAAAAGTAGATCAATGTTTTTTACACATTTTCAAATATAAAAAACAAAAAGATCTACTTTTTCACATATTTTCAAATGTTGAAAAAACGTATATATATATTTGGAGCGTTTACGGGTTAAGGATAATAGACAATGACTGTGGGGGAAGTTTCTTTCAGAACAATGAACTCTACCTGGAAGAAATTGTGGCCAGACTATGTGTCTGTCAGATATTTTGAAGGCTTTCAGGCAGAGCTGTAGCAAAAAATATTGGTTTCTCTGGGCCAGTGCATGGGATTGAAAATGGACAATGAGGATGGAGAGGAGTTGGTGGAGGATCACAAGACTGAGCTCACCACAGAAGAACTTCAAGACCTGCACAAGGAGCAGCAAGAAGTGGATGAGGAAATTTCTTCTTCTTCAGAGGGAAGCAGTAAGGACAACATTTCCACTCCAGAAATTAAGGAAACTGTGTTACATTGGCCTCAAACAGAGCCTGGTAGAAAAATGGCATCCTAACATTACTGCTGAGAAAAGAAGCATCAACTTGTTCAATAACAATGTTGTTGACCACTTTTAGGAAAATTTTGAAGTCATCAAAAGCAGACAGCTTTGGGACAGTTTCTTTAGCAAAGAAAAAAAAAATCAAATGCTTGTGAATCCCCATCATCCTCAAGTGCTACTGCACTGAGACAGAAAAGAGAAAAAAACAGACGGGCATGTTACCTGGTGTTTTTATGGAAGATGACAACTTTTCCAAACAATAACACCTCTTCAACTTCCTCTTAGGGCATCACCACTCCTCAGTAAAGGTAAAGTGCAGTTAAATTTTCATTTATTTCATGTATTTATTGGTTTTATAGTTTTCATGTATGATTTTATGTATGCAAATATTACAGCCTCTCCTTACTTAGCGATGTACTCGTTTACCGATGACTCGGACTTACAACAGGCTCTCTGACCAGTATGCATACCTTAATAATGTATATTAGAGTTGATTTCCTCTATTTTGTTTATTGCAATATACAGTACACTACTGTATAAACATTTAAATATATACTAAAAATGTTATAAATAGTATAAAAGTGACATTAAAACAATATCAAAGATGGTTGACACAAACCCACTACCATTATAGTTCGTTCCTTGCTCAGCGACGAATTCATTTACCGACGTGGTCTTAGGAATGGAACTCCGTCGTTAAGTGAGGAGAGGCTGTATTATACAGGTATAAATAAGCAATATTTTCACTTAAAATGTTTTATAATTGGAAATTTTTTAGAGTCTGCAACGGATTAATCCAATTTACATTATTTCTTACGGAAAAAATTTATTCAATATTCATACAACTCACTATCTGTTTGGCCTTCTGGAACAAATTAAGTATGAATATCAAGGTACCATTGTATTATAACTATAATCTGCATACAAGGACCCAATGGTCTTTGACTTATACTTTGACATATACTACTATGTAGGATAATTGTACTTATATGGACCTATACCTAAATAAACTTACTTACAAAACACAAAATGGAAACAAATTTAAAGTCTGCTAAATATAGTAATTGCCTTCTTCCCTTTACTCAGCCACAACTCGGTACAACACAAATAAAATTGACAATTAAAAATATACCACAAAAATTTAAGACTGGACTGGACTGAACTGGATTTATCAACACTGGATTTTTTTTTTTTTTTTGAATTATGTTCCAAGGACATGAGGAAATTTTTTACATATTTATATAAATTACTTGCAATAACAAATTTAAAAAAGCATGTTAATATATTTGCAGATGATGGAAGATCTTACATAAAATAAAACTAATGAAAATGAAAGTAATTTCTTATAAGACATTATGCACAAAAATAATGTAATGGAGTGATAGATAGATGATGAAAATTAATGGTAATAACTGCCATGTAATGGAAATAGGAGAAAGCAATAACAGACCAAATGAAGACTAAAAACTATTAAAACATTAAAAATTTCAGAAGAGAGGGATCTGAAAGTCATTAATTATTTCATGAAATTCATATGCTATACTGAGTCAAAATATACAGATCAACTGTAAACTGACAAAAAAACAAAAAAAAAAAGAATAGAATCTTCCCTTCACACTTAGTCAACAACAGTAATGGGTACCAGAGGTATTATATATGCTGTACTAGAACTACATCACAGTTCTAAAATAATGACAAACTGAACAGAGAAATGGATACCAAGTGAAACTCTTTTCCTGTAATTAGATTAAAGTACAAACGGTATTAGTATTATTCATGGAGGAACATTAAACCGTAAGGGTCAAAAATACAAAAGAAATGGAGAAAACAATTGGTTTTTAAGGGGAAAAGGTAGTAAGTTACCCTTTTATTTCCTTTGTACCGTGTCCTGCCCCATTTTACCAAAAAAACCCAAAGTCTTGCCATTGTTTTTTTTTACTTATTATTTTTTTATACTTTAATTTTGAATTTTATTTGTCAATTTAAATCTATTTACCCTTGTCTTTTAAAAACCCATATCAGACCCTATGCAATTGCAAGTACCATTTTAATTTGTATTTTTTTATTAAAAAATTTATCCCCTAGTTGTCTTTGCTCTTTCTAGCCAATACTTAGACAACCCCAAAACTAACTATACCGTTGTATTTAGCTCATTCTAGCTAAATACTAGACAATAAAAAATTTCATTATATTAGACCTTAGTGCAATTACAAGGGTGATCGGTGCCACTTGTAATTCTTTTTTTTTTTTTATAGTATTAGTTTATCCCTAGTTGTCTTTACTCATTCTAGCAAAACAAAGACAAAATCAATTTATTATGTTTACTAGTACTATATCTTAAACCCCAATGCTTTACATATATTATCCAAACTTCCCACCATACAGAAATCTTTTAGAACCCCCACAAAATAAGGATATAAAAAACCCACTTTTTAAACCTAAAAGATGAATGTCACGTTGCCCCTGATCTAAACCCCCCCAAAATCTAAACAAAAATCAAAATTTAGGAAAGTAACTCCCTTTATTACACAGCATCACAAGCCAGCCTATCCTAAACCCCTCTCAAAACTATCAGTTTTAACTCAACCTCAGGTCCAAAGCAAACACTAGATGGCCCCCGGGCACTCCTTGAGTCCTAAAGACCCCTTCTGCATTATTTTACTAAACCCGGGGCTAAGCAGGACACAATTGTTTTTACCCCTCCCGGGATCACACAACCCACAACTCAGCCATACCAATTTGGGGGTTACTGCAATCTATTACTCAACCAACTTTTTGATTAGCACAAATTGCTTTGATGAATATGGGAATAAAATTTTTGCTAATTTTACTGTAAAAAACCTCAAGACCCCTAAAACAATCGTGCCATTACGGATCCCCCACACAAACACCCCAAAATTTCATGAAATCAAAAAGTCACAAAAACAAACAACAAATGAACAACACCCCCTTTCTTAGTGGAACTTCAATTCAACCTTTGGCCTACCAGATGTAACTGTAACTGATTTTCCATCAACAATAGAAATGCATTTCTCAAAACCAAAATAACTAAACCAACCAGGCGCTGAGAAAAAGCACAACAAATAACCCACAATGAACCAATAAACTAGCCCCCCTTAAAATCAGGGAATCACAGACAGACTGCCCACTACCCAACCTTCCCTTAACAAACATTGAAAAGCCCCCCCCGGGATACAAACAAATTTAATTTAAATCCATGCGAGGCCTCTTAAGGAATTTACAGCAGCCCTAAGACGTTGACTGGCCTACAAATTTCTCCAATGCCAATGATATTGCATTGGGCAGACTTTTTTTCTTAACAAAATACTTAGACTAAACAACAAACTTGTCCTATAAAACAAAACAGATAAACAATAAAGGGCTTGGTTCCCCATGGTAACCGCACATTCTGAAACCTTGTAAGAACCCAATATGAAAGAAATACAGACAGGGGCTTAATACACAAAGAATTTAAACAAATTAAAAAGTTTTTCCCCAAAATTTAATAAAGAAAGCCAAACAACTGTACACTCCAGAGATTCACTGACCAAGGGGAAAATAAAAAAAACCTGGAAAACCTTTCCCTTTTTCGGGGGACCCCCCAACTGAAAAAAAAACAAGAATATTTTTTTAACAAAACCTCATGAAACACCCTGATCCACTGTACAGCTAACAAGAAAACGACCTCTTCCAACATAATCTAATCTCCCCATAAAACCCCACGTCCCAAATCCCCTCCCGGGGACTCCAAAAGGGGGGAATTTCCCAAATTCCTTCTTTTTGTACCAACTGAGCCCACGGAAGTCACCGCATCAAAAAGTCACTTAAAAATAACTCGGGAACTATCTACGTCCCACCATTATTTACAAGCGAGCGGCCCATGTCCTTTCGCATGCTATTACATTTTTTTTAACAAGCCCCAGAAACTAGCATTTCCCAACACTACTCGAGAAAAATTTTATTAACCACTTGGATCAAGGGTATAAAAATTACACCCCCATTGGCACACAAAATTTAATGATGATTTAATTCCACTATTGAGTGTTCCCAAAGATAAGGGGGCAGGAATAGGAAAAAAAGACCCCCCCCTATAAAAAAAAATAAAAACCAAAGAAATATAAATATCCCAGCTATGCAATCTAACACAGCAGCTAGGGGGTTGGTAAGCAACTTGAATGTAGAACCCCCCAAACCCGCTCAAACGTTCCAAGCTGCACTAACAAATGCAAGGAATGAAAAGAAGAACTTTGGCAAAGGAAGGGAAAAGTTTTTTGTGGATTTAAATAGGGCCACCCCTTTGGTTTTGGCTTGGAAAAGGGATAAAAAA